CGTGGCGCTGCCCGGGGCTCACTGATGAAACGAGCTCCGTGGATGAGATGCAAAGTATATTACCGCGCCCCTGTTTGCGCGGGCGCGCGTGAATTTCATCCGCTTCAGCCTTTATTGCTCATTGGTGCGCGTGCGCTGGTTGTCAGGGCTCGTTTGGTCGCAAGCGCCCGGAGACGGACGACCGCGGAGTTGCAAGCGACAGCGCTCCTACGTCGTCGCGGCGCAATTCTCTCAAATGGGCGCAGACGTGAGTGAGCGCTGGCTAGTGCGAGTGCTGCGGGGAAGCTGTTTTCGGAATCGCACGAGCCCCGCTACGATTGAAATGATAGTCTAGAGAAACCTAAAACTAATTTTTAAAAGTTATCGTAACTATTGAGAAATTTTCCAATGATTTCTAATGCTTCACTCTCCTACTACCTACAGATTCTGACAACAGACAGTTTACGAAATAGTTCATTATCGCTCTCATTAGCTGTTACTTTCTAGTGCCGTTTCTAAGTGCATACGTGATTGTTAAAGAACATTTTTCACGTTTCAAATTCCTTCGCAGACTGAGATAAAATACGCATTACGAATTCCCCACTTTTTGAAAATAGAATTAAATATCAATATATAATTTATTTGTGTTGTTAATATTTAGCGATGTACGGTTTATAATTGGTTTCATTAAATTACGTTTGACGGCTTTTAAATTTAAATATTATTTCTAACACTCTTCACAGTCTTCACTCTTCTCTCTCTCTCTCTCTCTCTCTCTCTCTCTCTCTCTCTCTCACTCTGTCTCTCTCTCTCACTCTGTCTCTCTCTCTCTCTCATCTGTTGATTCATTCTTCCCCCGTTCTGTTTCTTTGCCTCTTTTTTTGCGCTCTACCATTATTCTTCACTCCTTTTCTTCTCTTTGCTTTTACTTGTCTGTCCCCTGACTCGCAAGGCAGAAGGCGCTCCAGCGCACTCTCTCCCCCCTGCCCCTTCCCCCGCCCTCGCCGCGTCACCCTTCGCCGCCCATCGCTGCCTCTCGTGCAGCGCCGGATGCGCTAATTCATTGCCCCTCCCTGCCTCCGACAGCGCGGTGGGTCTGTTCGCAGATAACACCAGCGCATACTTTGGTGATTGATTGATTACTAGTGATTCCGGCCGTGTAATCTGTGAAGGTCAATAGTCCTGAAAGTGTAGTGCATGCTTTTCATGGAGGATGGCGGTAATCTTGCCCCTCTGGATGGCGAGATCCGGCGCCGCCCTTCCGTCGGCTACCAGGGTTTTCCCCAACCACTTATCTCTCACCACCTCTCACATCTCTCACCGCTCCAGCTGGGACAAGCTCTAAGATAAGGGGTAGGGAAGGACAAGGAATGGGAAGGAAAAGTCGCGCGCAATCTGTGACCCGTTTGGTAGGGTACTGCTCACGGAAAACCACCCATCAGGATAGCCGGCCGCTAGAATTATCTCCTCCAGACAGCGACAGAACTCGATCCAGATATCTGGCTAGTGTCGAAAATCCCCACCGGGATTCGAACACCAAGACCTCCCGGTCAGAGGCACTGCAGTGCTATCAGTTGATGCCCTGAACCACCTCTCAGACTTGCTACGCTGGGAAAGATTCATATTTATTGTAGTAAAAACTGGGATAAGAAAAAATCACATACTCCTTGAAGATCGTCCAAATATTTATGGTATATTAAACAAAATAATGACATCGTAACCCTATGAAGACATTCACTCAACGATTTTTAAACACAAAAATATGTGAAACTGGGAATTTATAATGACTCGGTGAAAAAAGTTCAGCAAGACGTACATTCTATAAAGAGATAAAATCCCTCTCCAAGTATTCAAATCTCCTCATCCACTTCTCCAGGTACTCTGAGTTTCCAAACATTAGACGAATCATGAGCAACGCGTGCTGCTGTGTAAGACATGTTGATTAACGAGAGTTGTAGAGTAACGTGAGTTGTAGTAATATATTTTGCAGAGTATCGTGTGTTGCGGATTGCCTAGAAGTCTGATTTTTCTTTTTAGCATAATATACAAAATAAGTCTTTAATGTACCTGGGGCGCGTAAAACCCTTTTCACTTGTAACTCCTTTTCAATGCACATTGCGAGATTTTGAGTCGATGGGTTCATATAAGTCGTACTAAATCGTCATATTTCCTTAGAGTACTGTATTTAACGAGATGACATTGTCACTCGTAGCACTTAAATTCATGTAAGCTCTGGAAATAATAAACACATTACTGAAATTCAACAACTGTCACATTAACCATCATGTGACAGTAGTACGTCAAAACTGGTCATCTGGGAATAGTTATTTCATAGATGAGATTGGGCACGTCAGAACGAAAATCAAATATTTCATGAGAATAACCTGCTGGAGAGGGAAAAATAAGATATCTGGAATGGAAGCCAAGGAACGAAATTGATAGTGGATATGGATGTAGAGGTTGATTTTATGTTCTACGGAAGGTGTATTTGCGGACGCCTATAATAGTATATAACTCCTATTCCCAAACAACGATAAGGAATAGTACAATATCTTCAAATTATAAAACCTTTCGACGATCGTTCTTTTAAATAATCTCTCAATGACTTTGTGGAATTACGGGGCCAATCCGGCGGAACAATACTGACAAAGTGTCTCCCAACTCAGAAAATTTGTGGAAAGGGTAGCAGACCTAGATTTTGCATGGGCAAAAACTTTTACAGTTCCTTTTTATTTGTACACGTAAGCTTCCGCGGCACAAATCCATAAATTCTCGGCTATCCGGATGACGCCGCATCGTTGGCTGGGGTGCCGACGTTTCGCCTGACATGTCGCAGACTTCCTCAGGACAGTGACAAAACAGTTTGTCACTGTCCTGAGGAAGTCTGCGACATGGCGAAGCCAACGACGCGGCGTCTCCCAGATAGCCGAGAATTTTTGTTTTTTATTAGTAGGCTTTTGTATGTATATCTGGGTGCATGAATCCGTCTACATGCGTGTGGTGGTTCTTGAGCAGTTGCCCAATTACCCTGTAAAAGGAATCCAGTGTATGGTATTGTCTGAAAAATATGTCTATTTACACTAGAAAAGAATCGCCTATAAAAATATCAATTAACTAGTGGTGCTACAAAATTAAATACACTTTCTCGTAGTAAGGTTTTTAACTTTCCTCGGTGTCGGCTAGATTTACGGTCTTGCCCAATCCTCTGCCATTTATCGCCCCCCTCCTAAATACATTTTTTTTAGTTTTTCTGAATTTTTCGGTTTCCTAATGGTAGATTCGAAATATTACCTTTAGAATATCAAAGAAGAGTAAAACCTTGTGCTATACGGAAATTTTCGTTGAAAAAATTGGAGCCGTTTGCAAAAAAAAAAAAAAAAAAAAAAAAAAAAAAAAAAAAAAAAAAAAAACGTTTACACTCTAGTGTAAAAGCAGAATTTGAATCTTTTTTCACAGGAGTTTTCAAAAACTTCATATGCAGTCATTTGAAGCACTTTCACTCAAAAATGCAATAATGTATCTCGTATAATGTAAGTAGCTGGAAATTTGTTGAGTTTTATGGCTGGTGTTTGGAATGATTAGAAACCATGGACGCATTTGCAAAGAGACGCGGTCGTGTCCACCTCGAGTTGTAAGAAGGGGAAGGCGAGCACTGCACGGCCGGATGAGCTCAGGGCGAGGGCGAGGGCGAGGGAGGAGGGCGTCGAAGCTGTTCGTGTTCTGTCGCTCCGCCCGAGCACTCGGGAACGAGGTCAGGGCTCTCTGCTTGTCCGTTCATTTCCGCGCACAAGGAACTGGTCGGCAACGAGCGCGGGCGGGGCGGGCAGGACAGACGGAGCGGTGGGGTGGGCGGGGCCGAGGGGTGGCGGGGCTGGTGGGTCGGGAGCGGTAGGGGCGGGAAGGCGAGCGGTGTGGGCGGGGAAGTGGTGAGCATGGTGGGCGGGGCGAGCGGGGTGGGCCATGGCGGGCGGATGGTGGGACTGTGGTGAGGCGGGCAGCAGTGTGGAGGGCGGCGGGCGGGGCGGAGTGAGCGGGAAGGGATGCGAGTGAATGGGGGAGGGGAACGGGAGGGCGGCGACGGCGTCCCGTCGAGCAACAGATGGCCGCCACGCCCCCGCCTCCGCCCCCTGGCGCGTCGCTGTGGCGCCGCCTCCAGAGCGATTAATTTCTGAGCACCTCGGCCGCAAAGCGTCGTCTGCCGTGCGCAGCCTAAATCTGTCGCCTGGACCTCTGGTGTCGTCTGATCTCTGACCTCGACCTATTGATTTTGCATGAAGTTGACTGATACGTTGTACCGATTGAAAGAGCTTATTTTCGACAATGTGTTTTTATTTAAGACATTTTTATTATTTATCCAATACTGGAGAAATCAGCATCAGCAAAAAAAAACTACAAAATAATTTTGGGTCTGAAATTCATACTTATTTAATTGTCAATTACATTAGGAATACGAAAATTACACGAAGAAATCAAGGGACGGATATTTTGAACTGACCATTGAAAGACTCCTTCTAAGTTTCTTATTCGCGTCTGATTCTTCGCGAGCTTCATGATTTTTCTTCGGTAATATTTAACAGTGATTTGAATCGGTAATATTTAACAGCCCATTTGATGGTTTTGGATTGAGGGGAAATGCATATCGTATCAATACTTTTTTATACAATTTGATTCACTCTAAGCACTGTATACAGCAAATATTACACCGGTACTCAAATAACGTTAGTAATAATTACATTGTGATGAGTAACATTTATTTTTAATGTTTATTGCATAACTTCCAAGATTCAACTGTGATTTATTAACATTTTTACACTCACATTTAATGTCATAAATGGCGACATTGGTAGTTTGTCTACATTACCCATTTCCATTACTTCATTATACTTTCTTCTTTTCTCTAGCTTCTACCAGACTGCCTCTCTACTTGAGTGTCTGTCCGCTCGTATGCCAGTCTGTCTTAGTATTTGTCTTCCTGTATCCCTTCTCTGTCTGCCTAACTACATTTGTCTGCCCACATCTACCTGTCCGCCTGTCGCCTCCCCCTCGTCGCTTTGTCGTCTGTGCCCAAGGGCGCCTGTTGGGCCGCGGCCATCGATGCTGCAGGGCCTTTGAGGACACCTGGCGCAGATCGATGCGACACCTGCAGCACGCGAGCAGGACTCCTCGCGCTCCTCGCCCTCTGGAAGTCCCACTCGCTTCGCTTTGGGCCTGCGGCGTATTGGCGTTGCCGGGCATCGCCGGTGAATTGTCTTGGGAAAAGGTCGATTTTCTCCGCAACGGCCTGGGCTGTACGGGGTAATGGTGGTATCATCCATTGGAGGTCTGTCAGATATTAACTGAGATTGATAACAAGTAATCTAGTCGTTTGTTACACAAGAGAACAAAGCTTGTGAAGGAAGCTATGGGCTTTGAAAGGGAGTGGGTCTTGGATCGATAAATGACAGCTTTGTGAGATGTTCCACTCGGTATTAGCGAAAACTTCAATCAGTTGTTCGAAACGTCTACAACGGTAATGTATTTTTGAAAACTAAAATGTGTGTGCGACATCTTCCTTCTCACACATTTGCTGTAACATTATGTCGTTTTTATATTAACGAAGTTCTTTTTAATGGAGAACACCAAAATGTGTTGATTTTTGTACTCATTGAGGTATATGATCCAACTTTATTTCACCATAATAACTACCTTATTGACTTGCTTAAAAATTGATTTTAATATTTGTATGCAAATAATAATGATCCTTTCCAGAGCCAAATCACTCTCTTTTACAATAAGCTGCTTTATTGGTCAGCACTGTAAGTCACTATATTCTTCTCCAGATTGTCATATTGTTCACAAAATGAAAATAAACAATGGAAGGATAAAAATATAAGAAGAAACCGGGAAAAAGGAAACTCCATGAAAATCACTTGAATTGTATGGATATTACATTTTGTCTCCTGGTGTAGTTGATAACATTTTTGAATCGACACTGTTTTCTCTTGGTTCAAGCTATTGCTTGCTCCAGGCATTTAGATGGCATGCCTATCCCACTTCAGATCTGTACAGGAGTAAATTTTCGTGTAGGCAAAAAATAGTTTCATGTTGGTTTCATATTGAAATATTTCCCGAGAAATGTTAGAAGATTACTGTGTTAAATGGAATTTACTTCGTAATTTTCTTTGTGTACTCCTGTTTTTGTAGATTCTCATATAGTTGTTATTGGAGAATTCAAATATTTTAAATCGTTAAAAATTATTCGCACGCATTTAAACATTTCATGTATTTTCTCAATATATTGAGCAAGTGCCCCTCACAATATTTTTATATATTTCCTCTGTGATTCACAGCACTGAAAAAATTGCAGTAAGAATTGATAATAATTTTTAAAAGAGCTGGTAAAATTTCGTGAGTGAGACAATCTGTGTGTCCAGCTCGGCGATTGTTGTGTGATGAAATGAATTACCAAGTGTTGTTATCGCTCATCTCCGCATGCCGAGGGTCCTTCTGCACTTACGCGGACACTATCAGCCTCAAAATGTCTCGCAGGGAATTCAAACTGTCACACGCTCACTCCGTACATTTCTGTATATCCACTTCGAGATGCCTTGTACGCCTGGAATAACATTTTCGGAACGATTGTTTAAAATCATGGTCGCCACGAGCCGCGCCAACTCAGGGTGGGATAGTTTGTCTCATTCTTCATTCTCATGCACACGTGCCTTGTAATTCAGCTCAACTTCATTCAAAATGATTGATGTACTAACATAAGGCAATACAGAGATAAGTCACATACACATTTTGCGCACTAAATAGTGAACGGTGCTTTCTCACTAATTTGTTTCTCATTAGTGGAAATGCACATTGCCTGTCCGTGGGCGAGGTTTGGTTACATCGACCTAAGAAGCTCAGTTCTGTTAATGTATGAAGAATGGTAATATCTGTAATACTTTTAACCTCAAAACAATATCATAGTACTGAAGATAAAAGTAATCAGAATATGCACATAATTGGGGAGCTTCCCTAATTGGGTAGCCAACAAAATGAGAAAGACAGGTAGGCATTCCGCTGTTCAGTCGTGTACTGCGGGTTGTATCACAGCATTGCCCATCTTTGGGATGGAAATATATCCAATATTCCTTCTTCACTCCTTCACATACTGTCTCTGTGTATTGAGTTATTTCACCGAAACAAAGTGAATGTATCTTCACTAAACGTTTCTAGCTATGATATTTTCATCGTTTTGGAAATATATTTATTTCCACTAATGAGAAACAAATTAGTGAGAAAGCACCGTTCACTATTTAGTGCGCAAAATGTGTATGTGACTTATCTCTGTATTGCCTTATGTTAGTACATCAATCATTTTGAATGAAGTTGATCTGAATTACAAGGCACGTGTGCATGAGAATGAAGAATGAGACAAACTATCCCTTGATAAAATCATAATGCTGAATACACGCTTTCCCTAACCTATTTGATTAACGATTTCGTTTGTTTCTTTTTCTTCCTATACTTCGAGATTAGGAAATATATTAAGAGTATTCTACGGTTATTGAATTAATTTGTAAGGTAACATAAGTAGTTGTTTCTGTTTTGCAGTAGATGTAGTGTGTTACTTCGAACCCAAGGGTGGATTGAAGTAATCCCCCAGAACAGCCAAAATCAAACTTGTCAGACCTCAGTGGTTAGTAAACTGTGCATACGTTAGTTTCAGGACAACTCAGACTACATTTTTGTTTGCGATATCACTGCAAATTGAAGCTTTTATTGTCCATTATAAATGTTAGGAAATGTAATGAGCGCAGTGACAGTGAATTTCTTTCAGACCTCAGTGTACTTGGCGCAAGCCTAATGGCATCTTAAATAGTGCTCCGAAGATGGGCATTACGACGCTTGAGCCAACTCGTGCTTGACAGAGGATCTTAAGTGTCTGATTTTGGACGGGTCATTCTGGGACAAGCGGCAATAAGGCAAGTCTTTATTCACGCCGTTTTAAACCACTCTGTCAGACTCAGAACGTCCAACGCGGGAAACGCTTCGACCGTTGTTCATCGAAGATTTTCCACTGCCTTAACTCAATTACAGGCATTGAAATCGTGCCAAATCTATTTTTCTCCAGCTAGCGGTCAAAACCGACATATTTGATTGACTGAATAGCCACTGACTCCAGCAAATTCTGAACAGAAACACAATTCCAATAGGAATAAAATCTTGATGTGTATGATAATTCCATAGATTCTGCACGCCTGGCGAGTGGTGAGGTGTGGGCGAGGGCGAGGCCGGGCGGCGAGGCGTCCTCGGTCGTCGCGACGCATTTCGTCCGACGCCTGGGCGCTGCCGTGCCCGCGGCCCATCACGGGATAATGCAATCAGTTAATCAAAGGCGCCCGCCTGGCCCGTGTTTACACGCGCACGCGCCGCCCGCGCCCCCACCCCCGCCCCCTCCTTCGCCCTCGTCCCCGCCCACTCACCGCTCCCTTCCACGCCTCGCCCCGCCCCGCCCCGCCGCCGACCGCCTCGCGTGCCGCCAGGGCGGAGGGTGGCGGAGGGGGAGGAAGAAAGGGGAGTCGAGGGAGGGGGCGGGAAGGCGGCGAGGTCAAGGAAGACGACGCGACGAGCACGAAGGGGGAGGGGAAAGACTTCGCCGCATTAATTGTTTGTTCCACTCGACTTCTCCTTGCCCCGATTCACAAGTACTCAGATTGACTAGTACTGCGAAATGACGTACGGGCGATGCTTTTGCGCCTCCTTTTTATTCTTCCCTTTACGCTTTAGGAACAAGTTGATATTACGTCATTACATCTTTGGAAGTGAAGACTTGGTTTGCCGCATTAACTTTCTATTCTAATTGACCTCCTCTTGGCCGGATTCACAAGTACCGAAATTGATTCATGTCACGAAATGAGGTTATGCTTTTTATTCCTCCCCTTATTCTTCATTTTATGTTTTATGTATTCACAGACATTATTTCCTTACCTATTGAAATTTATTTTTTCTTGTCTTTCCCAAGTCACTCAATTCTTTCGGCTTGGAATTCATGGTCGGTTAAGAGATCCTTTCTTCATCCGTTTGTTTGACTTCCTCGCTTGCTTGTACTCTTCCATTCCGTCATACGTAGTATCCTCGTATATTTGCATTTTTTCTTCATTCCTTACTATGTGTTCTTCTTACACAATCATCAACTCTGATATATATATATATATATATATATATATATATATATATATATATATATATATATATATATATATATATATATCAACCTTGCAACTTAAATTTAACCTATATCTATATTTTCTGGAACGCAATATTGATTGATATATTCGGAAACAGGATCATCATCAAGTTATTTATTTTCTTATATTTCCATATCCTATTTTGGAGTCTGATTATTATTCGAATAATTTGATAAAATTCATTAGTTTGTTTTCTGTGTATCAAAAAAAAGCACATTTTATAAGCGAGAGAGGTGATGAAAACTTAGTGACAGAAATGCTCCGGAATGCTTCGATGCTTATTCGCGAAAGTGCTTTTATTCCACTTTGTACGTTCTTCACTACAAACAAAATGCCCAATGTTCACTAATGTTCAGAGAGCGTAATTTTCAATCAGTAATGACAACCGTGGGCTCTATAGTGCAACAGACCTCATTGTACAGAATCTTTGCATTATTTGCGTGCTTAACCAAAAGTAAAGATGAAATTCGACTTTCTATGGATATTAACTACTTATCTTCTAATTTGTTTCCCCAACTATCAATGGTGAGTAATGAAAAATATATTAATGCTATTCATGTGCTGTTTAGTAGTTGCAACTGCACCCCGATTACGAAAAAATGGCCACATCAAGGGTTCACCGCGCTGTGTTGACGGCGTCGAGACGCGTAGAAACTATCTCGATAATTAGTTGCGTTACGACGAAGCACAACTCCTACTACTTTTTGGATCACTTTGCAATCATTATCAATCATAGTTACCGACCTAAATAACACAAAAAGCTGTACCTGCATCTGCCTTGTGATCTTTGAATTCTGCGTTTCGTAGTTTTCTGGGAAAGAAGGCCAGTACGAATCATCGTATTAAAGATCTAATGAACTAAATCACTATTCATTAGTTCACATCCATATTCGAAAATAACATTTTTAAGTACCTAAGTTTCTTTAATTTCATATTAATTTGTTACTCTTAAGGTCTGACTAAACGTATACGTATTTCTTGCTGTGTTCTGTCCCTAGATTTTCTTAGAAAATACATGGAAATGTGAAATTTCCAACACAATTAGTGGATAATACAGGTCAAAAAAATAAAGTAACGCTGAAACATCAATTACGAGT